GCGAATCCAGAGATACCTGCTTTCAACGACCGACGGGTCTTGGCGCTCCACCTCTGGTTTTTGCTCCCTCTCTTTTTTCTCCGAAATCCTCGATCTTTTAGGGTTGGAAGCGGGAAAACGTGAGAAGGCGAAAAACATTAGAAAAAACCATTGGAAATCAACGATTTTACCCTCTTTGGGCTCTCTCGGGACGGCTCTCGCAGCTCTCTTGGGCTGTTCTTCGATCTGGGCCTCCAGGGCCCGGCCTCGGGCCCCTCGGGCCATCAGCACTGGGCCCCTCGGGCGGCTGCAGTCGGGCGTGGCGGGATAGGACACCCGGAGAGGACGCGAGACTCTTCCGACGGCCACGAGGCCCCAGAGCACAAAAGGATGTGCGCCGGGCGTTGGCAGAACTGGGTCTAGCGGAACCTGGTATGGTGACTTGTGCCGGGGGCGCCCCCCCGCCCCGATTCCACTAACCGGAACTGCCGTCACCCGAAAAACACCAGCTACGGCAAACCTGACTCAGTGATTCTGGCCACTTCAGGGGCCCCAGGGCCCTACCACTAACCGGGTCCCCTTACCCGGGGTCCTGGCCATACCCGATTGTCGTCGTCGTCGTAATCAGAATCGCAATCAATATCGTCGTAGTCGTCGCCGCAGCCGTCGCCGTCATCGTCGGCGAGGCGTCGTCGTCGGCTGCCCAGCTTCGCACAACAACGAAAACCTAAACCTCTAGCTTGCAATTTCAAATGCCTGTCCCCGACGCTGGTTCCCAAAACATGCGCGGGGGAGAAAGCTGCACTGCCTCCCAACAGTCTCCCGACGGCGGCGCGCAGAAGGGGGGTGGGGCGACGCGTGTTGGTCCTACAAAAAAAACTGGGCTTACGAGAACCAATGGGAGGACTCCGAGCACTTATGAGAAGCTCCCGGCCTTGCGAATATAGAGGCCTCCTAGATGAGGTCCGAGTAGATGGGGTCGAAGGATCGCGCCGCATCGCCAATAGATCGCCGATGTATCGTCGATGCTTCGGTGACGTGGGCGCTGCATCGGCGACGTCGACGTGAATCAAATCGGGCTCCACATCGAGCCGCATCTTCGATGCATCGGCGATGCGGCGCGATCCTCCGCTTTGGAGTCCCGAAACGGTGCGGTGACAGACCCTGTGGTGACCTCGAAGTCCCCTAAGACCTCATCGCACGGCCCGTCAACGCACGGTTTTGGGACCTCGGATGCCAGTCGCCCGAGACGTCCTCGGAGAACGACCCGAGCCCCAAAACCGTGCGGTGACCCCGAATCCCCACCGACTCACCACACGGTGTGGTCACCACCCCGTTTGGGGGCCCCCGATCCGACCACATCTACTCGGACCCCATCCAGGAGGCCTAGAGTTGTGGATGCCATGACAATGGACACTCTAACAATCCTATCATTGAATTGGAGATGTGTTTAGCATGTGCAAATCATGTTATAAAAATGTTTCAAACATGTCTTGTACCTATTAAAACAAGTTTGAAACATATTTCAGATATCTGGAAATGGTTTGGCAGCATGCTTCCTCTCCACTAATCGACTTCCACAAGCCTAGAGAATGGGCCCCCCCCGGCGCCCGAAGGCCCCCCCCCCCGGCGCGCTGCCAGGCGGGAGGGCCTCGGGCTGCGCACGGCAAGCGCCCTCTGGGCAGCCCACTGCTGGCCTCGGCAGGCTCCCCGCGCAGCCTGGGGCGGCCTCCGATGGGCGCGCTTTCCATCACCGCCACCATGATCAAGTTGGAGGAAGGAGGGAGGAGGAGGCCGAGGAGGAGGAGGAGGACGACGAAGAGGAGGAGGAGGAGGAGGAGGAGGAAGGAGGAGGAGGAGGAGGAGAGGAGGAGGAGGAGAAGGAGGAGGAGGAGGAGGAGGCCGAGGAGGAGGAGGAGGAGGAGGAGGAGGCGGGGGGAGGAGGAGGGAGGAGGAGGGAGGAGGAGGAGGAGGAGGAGAGGAGGAGGAGGAGGAGGAGGAGGAGGAGGGGTAGGAGGAGGAGGAGGAGGAGGAGGAGGAGGAGGAGGCGGAGGAGGAGGAGGAGGCTGAGGAGGAGGGGGGAAAGGGGAGAAGGAGGAGGCGGAGGAGGACCCCCTCCCTCTCCAACTTCTGGTGGTGGTGGAAGACGGGCCCCTCGGTCGCAGCACCCCCAGCCCTGGAGCGCGAACTTCGCGCCCCGAGGGGCGCCTACGGACGCGGCGCCGAGCCTGGACTGCTCGGGGAGCCTGCTCCAGTCAGCTGGGACTCCCGGGGGGGCCGCGCGTGCGCCACCCGCGGCCTCTGCCACTGCCGAAAGCGCAGCCGACACCAGGATCCGCTCAGAAAGGGCTTACGGACCTCTGACAAGGTCCGCCCTTGGAGGCCTCCTAGATGGGGTCCGAGTAGATGGGGTCGGAGGATCGCGCAGCATCGCCAGTGCATCGACGATGCATCGGCGATGCATCGGCGATGCATCGGCGACGTCGGCGATGCACCGGCGCCGTCGGCATGGCGAAAATCGAGCTCCGCATCGAGCCGCATCGCCGATGCATCGGCGATGCGGCGCGGTCCTCCGACCCCATCTAATCGGACCCCACATATGAGGCCTAGAGCCCTGGCCAGCTCAGCGGGCCGCGCCCAGCCGCGGCCACGAGAACCTCCAGAAGCATCCCAAAACCTCCGAAGCCTCAACCCTCGGACCCTGGTCCACTGGAACAAACGAAAACGAGGACCATAACCAAAAACCGAACGCGGAAACGACAGTGCCGATCTTGGTCTTGGTCACCGTCCATCCTAGCCATCGAAACGGCGACGGCCGGCGTGGAGCATGATGAAGATCGGGGTGCCAAATAACCAGGGAAACTAAACAGTACCGATACCGCAACTCCCCAGACATCTCCCAGGGCGCGTTCTGACCAGGAGTTCGAGGCGAATCCAGCGGCGGCGACCAGGGCATCCCAGGAGGCCCCAAAAGGGGAAGACGAGGAAAGGTTGGCGGTTTGGGTACGTTCTCCTCCTCTGAGGCCCAGGTCGAACACAGAAAACAACTCCGCAGAGAGCCACGGACCCTCCCAGTCCTCGCCGCCACCCAGGCAGACGGCAGCCACTGCTGCAGGCAGGTTCGGGGGCGCGCAAACAAGGATAAGCGACCCATGGACTTGGCGCGCGGTCGCCTAATCCATGGATCGGGGGAGGTGCCCTCCCCAAAATGCGGCCGGTGCCGCCTCGTTCGGCGGCGGGAATCAGCGATTTCATATGGAAACGTGACCCGTCGCTAATCCACGCCCCCCTTAATCCATATCGCCTGACAGTCCTCGCCACCACCCAGGCAGACGGCAGCCACTGCTGCAGGCAAGTGCGGGAAAGCCAGGGGGGGGCCAGCTCAGGAGGCTAAAATAGCGACCCCGGGTCGCCGACGCGTCGCCGATGGACTGGGGAGAAGACCCCAACTGGACAGGCGCTTCCACTACGCGCAAATCAACTAATTACTCGCAAGTTGCCTGGATCCGCCGCGGGGGACTTACGACGTATCACAGAGAGAAAGGCATGTTGTTCGGACGATGGCGAGTAGGAGCTTTGCGAGCAGTGGGACGCGCTCGGCGACCGATAGCAAGTCTGCACGTTCCTGGGGGGGGGAGCCATCGGGCCCCTATGTTACCAGCCTCGAACTTATCCCTATCCCTAAGATTGACACGCCAAAAGGCGATGACACTCTATGTGATGCGCCCTCAAAAAATAAGAGAATCCCTAAGAATGGCATCGTGATGAGGAGATGCCCAGCATAGGGATAGGGATATGTTCCAGGCTGGTAACTATGGGCGATGACTGGGCGAGCGGGGGTCGATGCACTCCCCCACCCCATGAGCACACCCCCCTGCACAGCACTGCCCACGATCCGGGGGCCATCAGAGGCTCGGCGGCGATGCCCGGGCAAGAAGTGCGAGGGCGCAGGCCTTCGCGGAAGGCGGCGGGGCTCCTTGGATGCCCTCGGGTCCTCTGAGAAGCCGCCCCCGTCTTTTGGACACCCGAAATGGGTACCGAAAGAATGGGTACAATGCCCAACAACAAATGTTGCCCCATGCCCACAGCGGCCGCTGTTGGGCAGGCGGCCTTCTGGCTCGAGCGGGCACAGGCCGCGGCGGCGCGGACAGCGAGCCCTGTTCAGAATGAACAGGAGCTGCTGTTCGGCATTGTACCCATTCTTTCCGTACCCATTTCGGGCGCCCGAGTCCCGAGCCGGTCACGCCCCGCTCCTTCCGCGGCGCGCGGGGGTCCCGAGGGGTGCGCCGGGGGGGGAGACGGGTCCAGAGGCAGCCCTGACTCCAGAGGAGGAGGAGGAGGAGGAGGAGGAGGAGGAGAAGGAGGAGGAGGAGGAGGAGGAGGAGGGGAGGAGGAGGAGGAGGAGGAGGAGGAGGAGGAGGAGGGGAGGAGGAGGAGGAGGAGGAGGAGGGAGCAGGCCAAGAAAACTTCTCCGAAGGCGAGAGGGCTTCC